TGTGTGTGTGTATGTATGTGCGCGCGTGCGTACTTGCGTAAATATGCGCGCGCGCGCGCTGTGTGTGTGTGTGTGCGTGCTTGCGTAAATATGCGTGTGTGTGTGTGTATGTGTGTATGTGTGCGTGTGTAAGGGAGGGTGAAATGAGATAGGGGGGAGGGGGGGTAAGACCACTAGACTTTACTTTTAGATGATGAGCTATGAGCTGACGCCCCTGCGCCGCTCTGACTGACTGGTCTACATTCCGCACCAGCTGTTTCTGTGTCCGGCACACAGACAGACAGACAGGTAGACAGACAACCGCAAGCCTCGCTATATAAATCATACTTTCAAGGGAGACAAGACTGACTCTCATATTACCAGGGATGAAATTGAAAAAGCGTCGGATGAATGAGGAGACAAACTATTTTTTTCCCGAGATGAAGGAAGCGGCGAAACAGTTTGAGAGGTACAAAATAATAAACATAGTGAAGAGAAACAATTCAATAGGGCACAGTCGAGATTTATTTCCTCTGTAGTTTTATTTCATTTATCAACCCTCCACCCCTCCCCACTCCTCTCCTCCCCACCCCGCCCCACCCCCAAATCCCATAGACTTCGGTAACAGGTTCTATTATTGGAATGTTTTATTAGTGATCACGCAACAGTTATTCTTTACAATGGAATTTATAATTTTTGTATTCGCCCATCTGAGAGCAACACATCATGTATCGATAAAGACTTTCAGATCTGTTCTTTGTGTACCTGTTGAGATTTATTAAGTTTCAAACAGTGGGTGGTTGGCGGCTGCTCTGGTGTGGGTTGCTTCTTCTTTCCTTTCAAACATCTATCGTCCTTATCTCTCCTCCTTCTTTTTTTGTGTTTGTTTCTCTCTTGTAACACCTCTAATCTTCGCCACAGACTTATATGACCTTATTGTGTTGCAAGTGCCGTAAAACTTTTACTAAAACTAAAAGTTTCAAACGTCCGCTTATTTCACTGGGGCTCGTGCATAGAGAATCTAACACCGTTTGCTATGTGATGGTAACGCGCTCTTCGCTGTTGCACGTAGAAGATGTGAGTTTGATTCCCATGTAAAGAAGTTCATTTTTGTTTTGTTTTGTTTTTGT